CAAGTGCCCTGACTGGCTGGATTCGCTTCTGGCCGGGTTCAATAGTTCTCACCAGGACTTGAAATTCCAAAGTCCCCTAAGGTCAAAAGTCAATTCTTATCTCCGTCCCGATCTTAACTCCATTCCTTTTCCATGAGAGTTTTTCACATAACTATCCTATTTCAGACATTTAAACTTTCCTTCACCTATTTAACGATGTCTTTTAACGACTTAATGACGACATCTGGCTTTTATGGATGATAAGAATTGTTGGTGTGTTGAAACACAGAATCTCTAAGCCAGTGAGTTTGGAAGTAAGAATAACATTCCTATTCTAAGTGACTTATCAAAACCCGTTTGTGATTACCTAAAACAGTTCAAACAATACATGTTTACTTCAATACAGTGTAGAATCATATCTTTTTACTTCACTACCTCCTGCTGAAGCAGCTTCACCTCCTTCTCTCTGTCCTGGAGTCTCTGCTGGATGTTTTGTCGACTCCCCTCCAGCTCTCTCTGCCTCTCAGTCCTTTCTGCTGCAGCTGACACTGTGTCGTGGCCTTTATGTCCGTCCACCGTGCAGAGATAACAGATACACTGCTGATCAGTGCGGCAGAACATCTTCATCACCTCGTCGTGACGAGAGCAGATGTTCTCCTGGAGCTTCTTGGAGGGCTCCACCAGCTTGTGTTTTTTTAATGGAGGTACGTCATAATGAGACTGGAGGTGTTTGTCACAATAAGAGGCCAGACACACGAGGCAGGACTTACAGGCTCTCAGTTTTCTTCCAGTGCAGACATCACAGGCCACATCTTCAGCTCCAGCATAGCAGTGATCAGCAGGAGCAGCTTGGAGTCCAGTCTTCTTCAGCTCCTCCACTAAAGCTGCTAACATGGTGTTTTTCAGCAGGACAGGCCTCGGTTTGAAGCTACACTGAGGGCAGCTGTGGATCCTCTTCTCATCCTCTCCATCCCAATGGTGTTGAATACACTTCATGCAGTAGCTGTGTCCACAGGAAGTTGTCACTGGATCCTTCAGTAGATCCAGACAGATCGGACAAGAGAAGGTTTCCCGGTCCAGCTGAACTGCTTTCTGCGCCATTTCACCTCAGTGGCAGTGAGTGTCTGAGTTTCACTTCCTGAGCAGTGATGATACCTGTATTAAGTAGGTGAAACAGAGCAATGAGGACACGGTGTGTTATGTTTCCTTCCAGATCGCTTCTCTGGTTGTTTTTTACACAACAAAAATAATTTAAACATATTAACTCTCTCTAATATGCATTTCAGTTTTCATTTACATTCCTTAATAAACCGTTCACTTTCCTGACACAGTTCCACTAACATACATTCACTGTCAGTTAGTCTTTTCTGTGATAAACAAACATTTAAATTGAATTTAAAATTCAATAAACATCTCTTGTACCTTAAATACCTTTTTCAACAGTATTAAATACTACTCTTCTATTTACTGCAAGTCAAAAGTAGCATATCATGACCCATTTAAAATGTCAAGTGACAATTAAACTTCTGCCATTAATTGCATGTTACTAAAATGCATAAATTGGAGAATAATAATTATGCCAACACTCAGTATTTCAGTCTTAGTTTAAGAAACATCCCAGTATTAACCTTACTGTTTTTACTAACAGTAACTAACTTATCATTGTCATAAAGTGCATATTTATTCCGAACTCACAATAACTATATCTGTACTGGAAATATTCTGTGTGCGGGAGCCTTCAGAAATAATGTCACACTTGTATTATTACCGCAGCAGACCCTCTTATTATACATCCATGGGCAGAAATGCTAATGATAGCTCGGGCACAACGCCACAAGCAGAACTTTCAAAAGAGCATAATAAGGGCAACTTTATGGGAGAGGAAGCGGGAACACTGTCGTCACCAGAAAGTCTAAGCCAAACAAGACAGCAATCAGGACAATTTAGCTGAGAGAGGGTGCGGGGACACAACCATCACCAGCAACAAGTTGACACAAACCTGTCCGTCGAGGCTCTGCACAGCGCACAGCCGGCCACAGCTCCTGGAGGACGCGTTAACAACCCGTAGCTTAAAGAAAGAAACTACAGCCATATGTACTTGTGCATTAGGTGTAGGCACTGAAGAGGCATCATATTAGTGACAGATTAGAAAATAAAGTTTCCAAATGCTGCCTCATGATAAAAGTCACCATTCATTGACATTAAAGTCATTTATTTATTGAAGGCAGGAGCTCGACTTGCCCATAAAAACACATTCTACTAAAACTTGAATTCCCATGTTGAATGGTTTGCTGTTTCCAGTAAACATAACAGGACACAGTTAGTTTTATTTTACCTTTATTTACTCAGGGGGAGGACATTTAAACGTTTTCTCAGGTGCTCTCTGCTGCACGCTCACTCTGCAGAGAGCCACAGTCGTGGTTTGTTAAATTTTGTGCAAATACTCCGAAATATTTAGAGGTTAGGTGTCCTGCTCAAAGGGAAAAAACCAACATCTTACTTCAGAGACGTTTCCAGTGTTGCTGCAACACCTCCTGTCTGTTTTCTGAATATGTACGTGGTTTCTTTACGAAAAAAACGCAAATGTTTTTACACCTCTGAAATGTCTTTGATAGCACGAGGGAAAAGCGGTCGTTAATATTATTTTAGTTTTCAATGGACTCAAAAGATCATTACACAGCTCTCAGTAGGAAAAGGAAAACCAGAGCAGAATAATATTTAGCCGTCAACTTATTCCAGCGCTTTCTGGTATACTTCCATTTGTTTTAAATACTCCTTTAAACATAAAAAACGTTTTAAATTACTGGTAAATCTGGTAAATATATAACCAACATTGTTAGAATTAAAACCCTATATCTAAATGTAACTCCCTTGGAGGTTTTTTGTCTTTTAATAACTTGAAAATGCTTAAAAATATTGAAATATAATTTTAAAATGAGTTCGTTATAGGCCTGAATGAGTTTAAAGATGACATGTCATGTTCACAGTAGAATAAGTGAATTAAATACATAAACATTACATTTATAGTCAAACTGTTTGTCATTGGCGATACATTCAAACAGCCGTACTCACACATACAGTAAAGAAAATCAACACACACACTTTCTTTATCACAGAATATTAGAAAATAGAAAAATGTGAAGATATTAAACCTTCTTGTCCTTTTTGTGGTTTATGACAGTGACAACAAACAACATCAGTTACAGATTAATAGAAAAAAAATATCACAATCATGCAATTTCCCTGTTAATAGTAAACATTTGTTTCAAAACCTAAGAGAGAGGCCCTATTCTGCTCATTTTCAGGTTCATATCAGTATTCTGTGTCTCTACTGTGACATTTCATGTTTTAATGTTCACAAAGCTCTTTATTTTTCTCATACTGCCTGTGCTGCAGCACCTCTTTTCACCCTCCGTCTGAAACCAGAGCCCAGTCTGCTCTGATTGGTTAGCTGGCCGGCTCTGTTGTGATTGGTCAACCGCTTAGAGATGTCCCGCCCCTTAGCCTATCAGAATACAATGTGTTGGAGCGCTAGTCGATAAGCCGAGTGCTACATAGTGATGTCACTGTGTTCCTGAAGCAGACAAAGGAGTCCAATGGACCATTGACATGCACAAAAACCTATATAACACACTACAGGAAAGGGAAGACCACAATAAGCATAGTAGGGCCTCGCTGTTGGTATGAATGGTATGAACAATTGGTGTAAACATTCATTAATAACTGTCACTTTACAGAGTTTTGATCACAGTGGTTCTCTGCTTTCATTCTGCTCAAAGTTAAAGTAGCATAATCAAATTATTTACAGAGTAAAATTACATTTCTGTCACACAGTGTTGGCCCTTTTGTCAAGAACTCTGTCAGCTTTTAAGTGACAATAATTAGAAAAGACTGATTATAATGAAAGAACTTAGGAAGCCCCTTTCAAATTCAGACTTAGAAAATGGATCACCAAATTTATTTTTTCCTCACTTGCCTCTGTGAAAAACACAATATATATAATCACATAATAAATCAGGGAACAACAGTCAAGAAAATCCCTTTACCATAAAAAAAGTTAGGAATTTAAAGGCTCAGTTCACCCATATCAGAAAAACTGTTTCCTGCTTACTTTAGTTAGCATCTTGCTATGCAGATAGTCCCACATCACTGCTGTTTTTACGAAGGAGGATTGCTAAATTCAAAGATTATTGCACAAGATACTGGGAACAAATCCACCAATAATGACCAAAAACTGTTTTCAAAACCTTTGCAAATATCATTGAAAAGCCGGTATCTGCATGGCTGGATATCACGAGGGACAGGTCATGAAATACGTTGTGATTTGGGTGAACTGAAAGCCTGAATCAGCTCAAATTCTGCATGTATGTAACATAATGTCCATATTTTACATAGTAATACATGTTGAAACGTTTTCGTATGAGACTTGGTCAAGAAAGAGTTTACTGGAATCAGTGGCGGCGCCAGGGTATGGTTGGGGTAGGCTACAGCCATACCAAGAAATGGCTTAGCCCCACCTTAGCCCCACCATGAAAAATGATGTTAAAGTAAGCAAATTAAATTAAATAATAAGTAAAATGCTAAATGTTGAGAACACGGCTTGCGAAAATATACGGGTCGTGTCCACAACACACAAACTGATCCTGCTGTAACAACAAGTGCACCTGCACGTTACTGATGCAATATGGTTGAGACCATTTGGGGTTATGCTAGAAGAGGGGTGCAAAGAATAGTCTAAGTAGTAGGCGAGTTTTATACACTAAAGGTATGGAAATTCTCTGGCGTTATAATATCAGCGTGGCCGCGGTCAGATCAAAATGTCTCCGAATACAATTTGAATAGACCTACAGCCAATCAGAGTTGGAAACGTTGGGTCTGCATCATGCATTACTGAAGAGATCAATCGGAACCGCCATTCAGTATCCCCATTGGATCTTCAACGTGTACTATCATACGTCACGTTCACAGTGATCCCTTTTTATTTACTACAAGACAAATGTGCCGTTTTATTTCATAAAGTTCCATTTTGATTGAGACAGGGAAATAATCTAAACCTCACGCGTGGCATTTCACTGTCAAGGGGGGCGATATAGCGTGTATTTAATTACATTGCAAATACTGACTTGAGCCCCACCACTGTATGGGTTAGCCCTACCATAGATTACCCAACAAAAATACTCTGTTGCCGCCACTGACTGGAATGAACTCACCTGATTATCTCTCTTATCATTGATTTAAGGAAGCGACGATGTACCAAACAATATTCTAAAAAGTGGACTCCTCAGATCCGATTGGACATCATCCCGGTGTTCAGTTTCAGAAAGAACGACTGCAGTTTGCAAAGCGGGCACTTTGGCTTCTTCTTCTTGATCTTCTCTTTCTTGTACACGCCGTGATATTTCCCCTCCTCGTCCTCCTCTTCCTCCACCCAGGGAACCCAGGCCCCGCTGTGCCTGCTGGGATTGGCTCGAGGGTCGTCGGGCGGGAAATAAACGGGCACGGCCGTTCGGTTGTGGAAGGCCAGTCGAGCCATGAGCTGCTGCACGACGTCCGGTCTCTGCGCTGCTAAGTCCTGCCGCTCGCAGGGGTCCGCCGTGATGTTGAAGAGCCACACGTTCTTCGGGGCGGAGGAGGATTTGGGGAGCGGGGAGACGGGACGTTCCAGCTTCCACCAGCGACCAGGGAGAGTGGACATAACCTGAGCAACAAAATAAAGATAACAACGTTTAAAGAGGCCCTATAATGCATTTCTTTGGGGGGGGCTTTACCTTCTACTGTGTGTTATATAGGTTTTTGTGCATGTAAATCCCTGTGTTCCCTCCAGAGGGACGTTCTCTCTCTCTTTTCTCCATCTATTACCGGCTGTGTGTCTTTGGTTTCTAACTTTCTATGTTACCCTTTTGTAGTACTTCCATAGAGAGGCGAAGTCCCTCCCCTTCCGGTGGGACCCATGGGACCTTATTTCGGAAAAATTATGTATTGAAGTCAATGGAGAGAGAAAGATTATCTTTCGATCCCGTTTGAATTGTGCCACGAATTACACATATGATGTTTGTCAATCTTAAATAATAATTTCCATGTCAAAAAAGTCACAGTTTGTCGTAAAACTGTTGAAATATAAGACTATGAAAAATACGCAACTAGAAAGACTACAAATCCCAGAGTCGCGGCCCCGCATGCTGGCTCTTACGGAACCGACTAACTCCCCTCTTGTGTATGTACAGCTCTCAACATGCCCAGACTTGGAGTGATTTTCACCTCTTTTAATACTTTTCGCCTCATTCTGAAAGAAAGAAGTGAAATGTGCCAACGTGACGGCCGTCTTGGTGTGTGGTGCGAGACGGGAGATGTAGTTCATTGAGCGGTTTCACACAAAAAAAGTGTTACTTCACAGTTTTACTACACATTTGTATTTTTTTGACTTGAAAAATTATCTTTTAAATTGACAAACATCATATGTGTAATTCGTGGCACAATTCAAACGGGATCGAAAGATAATCTTTCTCTCTCCATTGACTTCAATACATAACTTTTCCGAAATAAGGTCCCATGGAGCTCAACCGGAAGGGGAGGGACTTCGCCTCTCTATAGAAAACCCTTTCTGGCGAGAAGCCAAAGACATGTTGTCTCTCTACAAAGCCACCAGACTCCATTGACAAAAACAGGGATTTTACGTCGCAGAACACAGACGTTTTTGTTGTACCGCTGCATGATTGTTACGTTTATTTTGTTACAGGTGAATATAAACATACCCTATTAATACACTAAAGTTGTATAACAACACGAAAAAACTGACATCAGCATCTAATGGGTCCTGCAATGGTAAAAATGACTGGTTTTCTGAATTGGGTATGGTGGCTTTTAAGAAAGCAAAGGAAACCGCTTAGGAAAGGGTCGTATGGTGGTGCAACTATTCAGGATATTGGGTACTTTGACTATATTTTAGGTGTGCGTATTTTAGGTGGCGTTATAACGATTGGCTGCTGCTTTCGTCCACAGCAGGACACCAACATTTATTAATGCAAATGACTATCAATATCTAATACTGTACTACAACGTTTACTCTTGTATTGTATACAAGTTGTTTTCTGTTTTATCTTAATTTAAATGTATTGTATAATGTATAATGTGTCTCAATGGCTTAATGCTTTGAAGGTTTTTTTTAGTAAAGCACTTTAATTGCCTTGTGATGAAATGTGCTTTATAAATAAACTTGCTTCCCCTAACTCCATGCCTGTACTCCTGGCTGCTTCTCCAGAAATGAGGCATGCCGCACGTACCTATCTGTTTATATTTTACACAACAACACTTCAAAAAATCCCACTATCCATTTAAGTCAAAGTCAACTTTATTGTCAATCTTTCAGTTTGTGTGTACAGACAGAGAGATCGAAATACCGTTTCCCACAATCCCGAATACAATAACAAATATATACAAAAATATGTATATACCTATCTATGCATTACATTAATGTACAACAATATCTGTTTTATTTGTCTTATTACTGCCGATTTTTATTCCATTCCATGTAAATACTGCTATATTTGACTATATTTGTAATTATTTTTAATATTTTTCTAGTTCTCTACCTGTGTTTTTAATTCTTGTTTTATTTTTATGTATGCACCACGACACCAAGTCAAATTCCTCGTACGTGTAAACCTACGTGGTAATAAACTTGTTTCTGTTTCTGATATACACACAATCAAAAGACACATTTATACATATGGGGTCTCAGTGTGATGCAGTACCTGTGGCGGGACCCAGTCTCCGTGGCCTGGGTCTCCTGTCAGCAGCTTCCAGTCTCCCACTCTGATGGCAGCCTGGACCGAAGCGTCCCACACTGACGGGAAACTAAACCGGGGCGTCGGATGGGATTTAGGCTGCGGTGCTCCTGCCTGAGACATGTTCTGGTACTGGGAGGACGTCCTCCTCGACTGGAAATGTAATGTGTGCTCCGTCTTGGATTTACGCTGAGGTGGTCTTGAGTGTGAAAACTTCTGCGATGTGTTTCTCCTGGATTTTCGCTTCAAGCGTGGCTGGATCTGAGGCTGAGATTTAGGGCGAGATGTTCCCGAACCCGATGGATTGTATGTCGGCAGTCTCGGGGTCAGGGGGTAAACTTTTGTCCTGGATGTGGGTTTGGGTTTTGATTTTAGAACGGGCTTAAGCTTCGGTTTGGGAACAGGCTTAAGCTTTTGTTTGATAACTTCCTTTTTTGCTATTTTAGGAACGGGCTTAAGCTTTGTTTTGGGAGAGGGCTTAAGCTTTGTTTTGGGAGAGGGCTTAAGCTTTGTTTTGGGAGAGGGCTTAAGCTTTGTTTTGGGAGCGGGCTTAAGCTTGGTTTTGGGAGAGGGCTTAAGCTTGGTTTTGGGAACAGGCTTGGATTTAAGTGTGGGTGCAGGTTTAGCAGCAGGATGGGGTTTCTTCACCCTAAAAGCTGACTTCTGCCTCGGTTTCTGCCTCAGGATCTTCTTCTTCTTCTTCTTTGGCTTCTTTGGGCCTTTCGATTTGCTTGCTGACAAATACAAAAAAACACAAGTTTGAGGAATGAGGAAAATTAAGTTCACTTTTGACTCTGGTTTTGCTGATGCCATCCCCCAGCAGATAACATTACATTTATACCTTCTTTAAATTGCTTAATTCCTGTAAGCAAGGGTGTAACTTTAGTTTGAGAAGTGGGGGGGGTCCTCCGCAATGAAACATTTTCTCGATTTAATTCCATTTCCTCACTTTCAAATATATTAGGGACTATGGTGTTAGTAAAATCCAAGGAAAAGGTGTAGTGTATATGATGAGTGTGCAGATTTATCTAGTATCCTATCCATGTGAACCTGTTTTATTTGTTGGAGGACCTCACATCGTCTAGGGGGGTCCGGGGCATGCACCCCAGGGAAGATTTATTTCTTTAAATTGAAGTTAAAGGCATCAATCTGGTGCACTTTGAGGGGAGATTTATGGATATAGCTCTCAACACTCATATGAAAGAGAGCTGTATATATTTAAATAATCAAAAAACCATTAGAATATGCTCACAACCAATAACAAATATTTGATAAACTCCGCTCTCCTTTCTTTATCTTACCTAGTCTGCATATTTTCTTTTTATTTATGCATTTTTTACTAAACACTCCCTTTTTTAAACTCCTGTTTTTTATTTTTACTGACCTATATTGGAACAATTTCTTAACTTATTTTTTACAACTATATTAAAGGGGACCTATCATGCAAAATGCACTTTTGTACGTCTTTTATACATGAATATGTGTCCCCGGTGTGTCAGGGAACTCACCAAGTGTCAGAAAACACAACCCTCTCTCTTTTCCTCCATACCCAAATCTCTAAAAACGGGGCTGCAACAGAGCTGATACAGACGTTAATTTTCTGACGTCAGAAACAGGGAGCTCCGCTTATATGGGCAACTCTCCACCTATCAGGGGAATGTGGGGTTGGGCCACGGTCATTGCCGCTCGAAAGCGCTGGAGACGCTGTAGTACATATGCCAGGCCTGTAAGTGGCGCTGTAGTCTGCCACAAAAGCAGCGAAGAAGACTTCCCGTGCATGGTTGCCATGGTTGCCCTTCTGTTTATTCTCCGCTGTGGACGCTCTGTCTCTTTTTCTCCCTCCCCGAGGCAAGCGTTTGCTCCTGCTGCTGTAATTCAATGCAATCCCTCCCTCGCTGTAATTCTCTCCGGTTAGTCCACCAGCAGATGACAAACACCCACCTCTCCGCCTCTTCCAAGGGACGAGGGGACCGTGCAGCAGAGTTTCAGTTAGATTTTTTTTCGCCGGTCAACATGTCCGTTAAAGTTTAAATCTTCCGGACAAGTGCCGGTCAAAGGTCTTCTTTGTTATTTATTGAGCTTTAAAACAAATGAATAATGACTCTATATAATGATATAAGAATAATACACGGAGGACGGAGCCTCTCTTTTCCTCCCCCTCTTCTGAGAGCAGCAGCTGATCAGAGCACGCTCCCCTCTCCTGCAGGGGGGCGTGGTCAGCTGCAGCTCATTTGCATTAAAGCTACGTCACAGAATCAGCCCCTGCAAAAACAGGGCTGGAAAAGAGCAAATAGAGCTAAATGAGGCATGGCTAAAATGCATGATCTGTTTGGTATTTTGAAAAAAAAACTTCACAGACATGTTTTATATAGGTATGGCCCTACAATATGTTTTTAAAATATAGCATGATAGGTCCACTTTAAATAGATGGAAATATTTGTTTACAAAGATGACCAAACCGTTTGAGACCCACTGAGATAACTTAGACTAAAGTTTACAATCGCTGTCTCTCTCTCTCTGTCGCTCGCACACTCACACAAAATGCGCTCGTGCCACACACACACACAGAGACGCTGTGTTCTCCACGATGACCGCTTGCGTAAAATAAAAAAATAAAACACATTCGAAAAGTGGGGGGGGACACAAACGGGATTTTAAAAAGTGGGGGGGACATGTCCCCCCTGTCCCCAGTGGAAATTACGCCCATGTCTGTAAGAGATGCTCCTGTTTTTCTCTTCTCAGCTTCTTCCTATCCCTTTTTAACTTCCCTCTGTGCAAATCTGAATTTCATAATTTTTCTATGAATCCGTTTTTATGCATGTGTTGGCTACGAGCTAGGAGTCCTTAACAGCTGCTTTAAAGTATGAGCATGCTAACATCTACCGATTATCCGTAGACACAAATATATGATGATATCCATATTGGAGAAATTGCTAGATGGGAAGGAAATACGAACATGGACCAACCAAAGTGGGAAAACAGAATATATTAAAAAAGATATACTGTATATATCAGTTATATCCATGACAAGTGATTAAACTCCATCATAACAGAGAATTAAGAAATTCACTCATAAATATACTGTATTTTTTAGTGACATTAAACCAAATTGTAGAACCAAATGAAGCCATTGAACTGCACAGATTATGACTCGCCAAACTCTTTCCACTAAAAATGATGACAATTGTTACCATAAGTGAATTGAATTCATGCACCGTAACCTGAGTACAGACTTTGATACTTAACGGCAAATTATCTTTTGAATGCATCCTTATTTGACGTTTGTATAATTTTGACGTTAAATGTACCCTTAGCTCTCTCCGTGCTGACGTCCCAATTCATGGTTTGCAACGGAGGTTTGTGCAGAGGGTCGATGTTGTGAAGGATCTCCTGACGGGGCGACTCCTTCCCCTCGCTGATGGTGGGCCAGACATCGAATCCATCCAGACCCTGACTCTGAGAGGGGGACAAATATTCAATTCAATTATGTATAAACACTTAGAAAAACAAGTACAATCATAGGACATAATTGAGATATGTGAAATGGGACACCCAGTCAAGCAAGCAATCTGAAGCTGGAGAATAGGGACACTAAACAAAGTATTTACTATTTATTGCTCACACATCTAGAAATGGAGAGTTCCTGTGTTAAAGAGGAGGAAATGTAAAAGCTAAAAAACACCAAAAAGTAACCAAATAGCTTTAAAACGAAACACATTTAACCATAACTGCTTTATGGTCCCAAAATATTCGTTTCATTGGTCTAGAAAAGGGGTTAAAATAGTTATATATTAATTATAACAAATAAATAAACAAATAAAATGCATTTCAGATTAAAATTCACTTGTACAAAAGGTAATATAAATAACATCTTGTTGTTAATGAGAGGTAAAGCAGTCCATGTGTTTACTGCATGACAGAAAAAAATAAACATTTACCACACAGGAATAAATAATAATACATTCCCTTAGTTAATAGAGTTACAAAATGTTCTGCACAAGTCAAACGCTGTCCTTAATGTAGCCAAGTTAGCCTTATTTATCTGCTTTGGCAATGAATACCCACTTGCATATTATGCCAAAAAACTCTTTGGGAGCTGTACACACAGACGGGCCAATAAAAGTGATTTATGTCTGAACTGAACCTCAAAGCGTCTAGGAGGCACGTTGTTTAGAAATAGTGCACTTATCATAATATGTCAAAAGCACACTTATCTACATGATAGTACAAAATGATAGTTTTACAGTAGCGATGTGAAATTCAGAGGCTGTAATGAAGATGAACGTGGATTTAGCTCCACATTTAGCTTGAATGTGAAATCAGTGGTAGAGTATGCAAAATAACTAGAGAACACCGAAACTAAATACAGAATCAGCAGCTTTAGTGGCCGCGGGGAGAAAAAACCATCTGTAAATCTGCTCTGTTTTACAGCACAATAAAGTCAGTATTGTACTCAGTGGGAGTGTGCTTTCTGCCTGGTATTTACCCTTTAATATTCTGAAAAATAAGATAGGCCAGGCTAAAAGAAGAGCATCAATGACAATAAATACAAGTTACATGCGACAAAGTGCAAAGCCAAAGACTTATTTTAAAGTGCTAAAAAGTGTAGGAAATAGTCAGAAGTACTTACATCCTGGTTTTCCACTGACCACTTAAAAATACAAGTACAATCAAAACACATAAGCAGAGGGAGAAGTACTCAGATCTTGTACTTGAGTGAAAGTAGAAGTACCAGAGTGTAGGAATACTCTGGTACTGTTATGTTTATGCATGGGTTTTGTTGTTGTTGTGTTATTTCCTGTTGTTTGCTCCTTTTACCCCTCACTACTCTGTGGGTGTTTCTCAATCTCGAGTAAAGCTGCTTCAGAGCCACTATTTCAAGCATACTACGTCATCGAGTGCCGCCGAAGGACTGTTCCAATCTCCAGCATACTTGGAAATCTACCGAGCCCGGCGTACTCCGTTTGGAGAAATATCGAGGCAGCACATGAGTAGACTCCGCGGTCTTAAAATCCCCACAATGCTTTGCACACGGACCAATTTCCCCAAATCTGTGGCGGAAGATGTAAGGCGGGGCCTCTCATATGACGCACACCTGCACACTTGCTAGCCTGTTCCACTCTTTGTTTTCCAAATGCCAGGAAGTATTCTTGACTCGCTTCTGAAGCAAGATGCTCGGCAGACATGTGCTACCAAGCAAGCGTACTCGCGATTGAGAAACACCCACAGTCTCTCCTTCTCTGCAGGGCTGGTGTGTGACAGGGGGTGTTTCTCAATCGCGAGTATGCTTGCTTGGTAGCACATGTCTGCCGAGCATCTTGCTTCAGAAGCGAGGCAAGAATACTTCCTGGCATTCGGAAAACGAAGTGTGGAACACGCTAGCAAGTGTGCAGGTGTGCATCATATGAGAGGCCCCGCCTTACATCTTCCGCCACAGATTTGGGGAAATTGGTCCGTGCGCAAAGCATTGTGGGGATTTTAAGACCGCGGAGTCTACTCATGTGCAGACTCGATATTTCTCCAAACGGAGTACGCCGGGCTCGGTAGATTTCCAAGTATACTGGAGATTGGAACAGTACTTCGGCGGCACTCGATGACGTAGTATGCTTGAAATAGTGGCTCTGAAGCAGCTTTACTCGAGATTGAGAAACACCCAGGGGGCGTGGCTGGTATTCTCCTGGCTGCAGATGAGGCACAGCTGTTCCCACTCACATAATCACCTGCTCTTTAAGAGCCTGGCCCTCACCTCACTTCTCTGCCAGAGGATTAAATGCTGTTCGACGATCCAGAGTGCCTTTCTGCAGCCTTGAGTCTTGTTTTGTTCACTTTGCAGTTTTTGAGCAACTTTTTGAGTTTAGCCTGGGACGTTTTCCCTCTGCTTTGTTTTTGGACCTTTCTGCAGCCAGCCAGCTCCCTGTCTTCAGTACCTGCCTTGGCCTATTATTTATTAAACACCTTGAGCTTTACTTGTGTCTGTCTCTGCTTTGGGGTCCTAGAATCCATACGTCACAGTTACAGTAAAAGTCCTGCATTCAAAATGTTCCTCAAGTAAAAGTAGAAAAGTATTATCATCAAAATATAGTTAAAGTAGCGACAGTAAAAGTAGTCATTGTGCAGATTGGTCCATTTCAGAATAATATATATGATATGTTTTATAATGATTGATCATTAAAGTGTTCTCAAAGCTGGTAAAGGTGCAGCTAGTTTGAATAACTTTGTATACTGCAGGGTAGCTTGTGAATTTACTCCAGGTGGAACTAAAGTCTGATTTAACACTTGATTATTCACATCATTCATCCAGATCTGTAAAGTAACTAAAGGTATACAACTTAAATGTAGTGGAGTAAAAGTACATTATTTACCTCTGAATTGTAGAGGGGTAGAAGTACAAAGTAACCTAAAATGGAAATACTAAAGTGAAGTACAAGAACCTCGATGTTGTACTTAAGCTACAGTACTTGAGTAAATGTACTTAGAAACCTTACACCACTGGACATGAGCTATCTGAAGCTTTAGACCAGGGGTGTCCAAACCTTTTTCACCGAGGGCCACATACAGAAAAAGATATGAAGGGCTGGGCCACTCACTAGAGGTGAGGTGTATCGCGTTATCAGTTCAGTTATAAGTTAGCAAAATCAATCAAATGTCGGTAAATAATGCTTTATACTTGAAAATGAAACTGCCTTCATCACAGCTTTCCATAGGGTTTCATTTATTGTGTTAGCAGCTCATTCCCTAAAACAGAAAGAGGAAATATGAAGGGTTTATTTCAAGCTTCTTATGTTATTAAGTTATTGGACTTTTATCAACTAAGATTTGTTTGAGAATGTTTCCAAACTTTACATTTATTTGAAAAGTGGGCCTTTTAACACATGAATACTACTGTGTAATATATGTTTACATATATATTTAAGAAGTACAATATCTGACAAGCACAAGTTTCATTTTGTGGGCCATATTTCATTATACTTTTGGAATTAGCTGAGGGCCGATTCAAAATGGGCCGCGGGCCGCATTTGACCCCCGGGCCGTAGTTTGGACACCCCTGCTTTAGACAAACCCAAGACAGCCTGAAAACTGTAGAAATAGCAACAAATTCACAAAATAAGTTTTAATAAAGTGCAGAGTGCCACTGACCTGGCTGATGTTCCCCCCGGCGAGGCCCACCAGAGTGGGGAACCAGTCGGTGATGTGCAGCAGAGCTTTGGACACCCGTCTCCTGCGTCTCAACAGCGGGCTGTGGACAAACGCCACTCCACGAACTCCCCCTTCCCAATATGTGCCCTAAAAACACTGCCAGGTTATATTCTCATGCAAGTAGTTATGTACATTTGTTAACCCCTCTTTGTTTGACACAGAAAGGACAACAAACCAGACTAAACGCCTAAGTTCCCTCATCCAAAAACTGCTGAATTAATTCAATAATGTAAGTTCTTAGATCTTTTTCTAAAACTGGGGCAGAAAACAAAGGTGCTTCTTGTTACCACAATGACAGGGTCATCAGTAACTCACTTTCAGCTCTACACGACATGTTAGATTTAGCATGTCCTCAACAACTTGAATAGTTTACATGTAAATAAGCCAGCAAGTCTTCTCAGCGTCAACGTCAAGCAGTAAGACTCCTCTCCTTTGGAATCGTCTTCTATTTTAGATCCGCGAAGCTATTTCCGTTGACTCCTTTAAAAGCAAACTGAAAACCCATCTCTTCACATCTGTCTTCCTTGTAAACTAGCTTCCATCCCCTAGTTTCCATCAACATGACCATCACTTCAGTCACATGCTTTTATCACATGGCAATACTTGTGTTGATGTATAATGTTGTATAATGTTTTTTATCATTTTTATGCTATGACGTTTGTATTTTGTTTTTGTCTTTGCTTTTGTTTGCTTTGTACAGCCCTTTGAGGCACTTCTTGTGATTTGGGGCATTTGATTTGACTCACGCGCAACATACGAGAAGTCATTTGGTACCTTTCCTCCTCGCAGCGGCCAGTTGCTGCCTCCTGTGAACGGCTGGGCTCCGTTGTCGGTGGAGTAGATGATGACGCTGTTCCTGTAGTATCCCAACTTCCTCAGGGCGTAGGTGACGTTTCGCACCGCCTCGTCCACTGTGGACACCATGGCGGCAAACTTCCTGCGGGCGACGTTAGCCATGTCCCGGTACGGGTAGATGTAGGACTTGGGAGGCTGCAGAGGAGTGTGGACTGCCTGCAGGACAACAATAACAACAGGGTATTTACATGAGTTCACTTTGAACATTTTATGTATTCATTTCTGGTGCAGAACTTAACATAATACATACAAACAACAATGCAAACTAAACTATAATCATTACTATTATTTAAATTAGTGTAATCAAATGTTTCACGGGAAATCTGTTAGTTATGATATTTGTTTATGTTTATGTTTGTGGGAGGAAAAAGGGGCTAAAAGAGAAGCATTTACAGAAATAAGAATCTGACTTTTTTATTTTCCTAATATACATAAAAACTGAAATGTGTGAAATAAATAAAGGTTGCTTTAAAAAAAAAGTAAATGCACAAAAGTGTTGAAAAAAGCCCACTCGTCTTAGTCAAATTAATAATTTATGTTTAAATGATTTTAAACTGTGATCAGCATTTTTATCAGGCTATTATTTATTTCTATATTATGCAAGTGTTGAACTGTATATTGATATTTTAAACTAGGTTATTTTGGATAAAATCCTATAATTTAGTGCAGCTAATCCACTTTACTTTCTCCATCTACTTCTGTTAGTCATTTCCTACATTTCCCAGAATGCACCACATCACTTATTCATGATGCTTAAGTTGGAACTCAGTGTTCTCTACTCCCTATGTGGAAACATGAAAAAAAAACGCCCTTTGTTTAGCCTTTCCTTGTGAGGACATACTTCACATTCAATTACCATGAAATGAAATATACATAAATAATAATTCTTTCTGTTGAAACCCTTTTAAGTCACACTTTCATGCTTTAATCAAATGGTTTACAATGTTAGCTAAACAGTGTCTGATGCTCACAGATAAACAAACACTCTAAAGAGGCCTTTATGTTATTGTCAAGTTTCAGACTCGCCACATAAACCGGCATCAAAGCAAGAAAGGCTGTGTTGTTTTTCACATATTCTCTGCAGTTTTCTGTCTCTCTTTTGGATTTGAAGGGGCTGTAATCCTGTGAAGCTGATTCTGATTTGTCCTAGTGATACCTGGAGGGAGAGCAGCAGGAAGAGCGGCCTCTCCGTGGGGTTGTGAGTCTCCAGGATCTTGCGGGCTCTCTGTGTGAAAAGCGTTGTGGAGTATTTCCCTTCCTGGCCCCACGCCACGCCCTCGTCCTCCTGGAGATCATACCCACAAACCCCGGGGCCGTCGCACGACCCGTAGCTGAGGACAGACGGAGACACGTGAGTTAGGGCTAGTGACAAGATACGATAATCATTTGTTGTCAGATCAAGTCTGGGATGTTTCTTGCATCACAGCCGCTCCATTTGCAACATCAATCAAGGATGAATATTAAAGATCCCCTATTACACCCGTCACAGAAGCGTCACAAGTAACATGTAATGATAAAACAAGGCGTTGCACATAATGTGAAAATATATAAATACAAAAAAAGTAAGCAAACACAAAATGTAAACATCTCAAAATCGAAAATAAAACAGAACTAAAGAGTAAAATAAACACATGTTGATAGTGAAAGATACAAATGTGTAGACTATCTGTCAAATAAACACTATGAGGGGCCAAATGACAGCTAACAAAATGTAAAAGTAGGATATTATCTACATTAAGAGTGCAAGGATTAGCATATTACATTTTATATAAATGTAATATGTACAGTGTGAAGACAAGTCCAGTTATATCCAGTCATCAAAAGAGAAACCATGGAGCTGTGAGTACGTCAATCCGGGTTAAATGTGAACATAATAATCCTATAGCTGTACCTGTAGTAATCCACACTTCCTGTCAGAGATCCAAAGAAACTGTCAAAGCCCTTTCTGGTGGGCAGGCACGCCTTCCTGCAGGAGAGACAAAGAAAACGGATTTCTATCAAAGGTTCAAAGGGCTTTAAAGGGGACCTATCATGCAAAATGCACTTTTTGATGTCTTTTATACATGAATGTGTGCCCCCGGTGTGTCAGGGAACTCACAAAGTGTCAGAAAACAAAACCCTCTCTTTTCCTCCGTACCCAAATCTCTAAAAACGGGGGAACAACGGAGCTGATCCAGATTTGCATCCATGCGGACCCACGGCACTATCAGAAACGTTGCTATAAGAAACAATGCATGGTGTTTTGGACGTAATGTGGTCTTTGTTTACATTAGCAAGCATCGCTAACACTCAGAGCTAACCTGTACTGGAGAGAGTATATGTAAGAAAATCAGGATATAAAAAGGTACTGACCCACCTTGTGGTAAACCCTCTAAGAGAAAAAGCATTTGAGGTTGGGTTTTGAACATGATATGGTGTTTAATCACGGCAGCATTTAGCTGAGAATCTCTCGGTAGAGTTCTCCCGCCTGAGCTCATAAGCTCCGCCCCCTCTTAAAAAATGGGTGATCTGTTTGGTATTTTGAGCAAAACACTTCATAGACATGTGTTTTACATATTTTTATATATTTGAGACCTATAATATATGCCTAAGAATTGCATCATAGGAGACCTTTAATAGTGAGAGAGGACAGCTGCTCCACATTACTCCACCTGTGAAGCTCCATCTCACCTGTAGAAGCCCAGGTGCCACTTGCCCACCATGTGTGTGGAGTACCCGGCCTCTCGGAGCCTCTGGGGCAGCGTGTCCATGTGAGCGGGCAGACAGCTGGGCTGGCTGGGTCTGATGATCGAGTGCTGCAGGCCTGTGTGGATCTGATATCTGGGAGAAAAACAACATTGTATTGGCTCTCTGACAGAGAAAACACGCCACTCATCAAATCTCCGTCCCTATAAGTGTCTCAGAATCAGAATTTCTTTATTAGTCCCGCAGTAATTTACAAAACGTGGCATAGCAGGTTAAGAACAAGGCAGGTGATAATAAAGAATACGCTCACTCATATAGAGAACAAGAGCACACATTAGTGATAACAGAATACACGTAAAGATAATTAAGTACACATCCATGGCTAACAATGAGAAGCAGCGATTTAAACAAAGCTACATAGGTATCATATTAGGTGTTGAGACATTTAAAACAATGTCACTCGTTGAGCTCAATCATCGCCATAAGGCCAATGATTTCCAGCTTTCAGCTTCTAAAGAACGGAGGATTTTAAGATTATTTTGTTTTATATTGTTCCGTGTTTGAAAGAGTTTTTATAGTTTCAATGCTTGAGACAACGAGGTCACCCCGATTGATTTTACACTGGATTTATCTGAAATATGGAAACGTTGTTTTATTTAATATATAGTATTGGATGGCATTATATACTGTATATATATAATTTATTTTCGATGTTAATGCAGTGTTGATCAATTTCAATCAGGCAAAAATAATCGCAATTAGGTATTTTTTCTAAATCTTGCAGCCTTAGCTCAGACCTAATAAACGCCACTTTACCTTGATAACATTTACGACACAACATTTTTTTTTAACCATTGGTTCCGTTCACTGTGTAAACGACAAAATACTGCCCCAAATGAGGTCAAAGTCCAATCCAGAGTGTTTTAAATGGCAGTCAGGTGGACAAGGCAAGTTTATTCGTAAAGCACCTTTCAACACAAGGCAATTCAAAGAGCTTAAAAAATAGAAAACGGACATTAAAAAGCAAAGAGGATAAAATAAACATAAAACAAGCTTATAATAGAATAACACAGGTATTAAATACATGAATGAATGTTATAGTGCAGTGTGAGATATTCAATTAAAAGCAGCGGCAAAAAGAAAAGTCTTCAGCCTGGATTTGAAAGTAGTAAGAGTTGCAGCGGACCGGCAGGTTTCTGAGAGTTTGTTCCAGATATTTGGAGCATAATAACTGAACGCTGCTTTAGTTCTGACTCTGGGGACAGAAAGCCGACCAGAAGACCTGAGAGTTAAGATAAGATAAGACTTTATTTATCCCGAAGCAAATTGTTGTACCAGAGTTACAAAAATACAATAAACTCAGCAGCATAATAATAAAACTGTACACTAACAGTGCAGTAACAAGAGCAATTAAATATCTACAGGAAACATAGACGGTCACACAATGAAGTAAATATTCACAGTATTTAGTAGTGTAAAAAACGTAGTGGCAGATACGTAATTGCACGTTATTATAGAACATTATTAATAATTAACAATAATGATATTGCACATGTGATATAGCAGCGAGTGTTTTGTAATGTAAGTAATGATATTTATATTGCACATTGGTGTGGAAGTTCTCAGTTCCCTTGGTTCTGGGTGGTAAATAAAATAACTAATGAAGCTTAGCGCAAGTTCAACCAGAAAGACCATCTTTACTCATTCATTCACATGTTCCCATCTTACTACTCTCTCTCCTCTCAATCAGTGATCGGGGGCGTCACTCCCCAGCTAAACCTATCACTTCGCTCTATTCCCACAAGCCTATCAAAGTGCATTGCTAAACCTTTAAATCTGCTCTCTCCCCTTCCTCACAGTTGTCATTTCAGGCGACTCAACGCAGCCCTCCTCCCCCCCTTCCACCTTGCTTTCTTCCAGGGTCAAGCTTAAACCACTCCTCTTCAGACCGACCTCCATCAATCCCTTCATGCCTTCACCACCACCAGTGTCTAGATCCCAGGGGGGGATTTATCGGTTCGGTTTTCCCCTCCCGAGTGATACTCCCGCACAACGGGGTCTAATCGCTAAACACCATTACATGCATCTGTGTTTTGCAAAACTTGTATCTCCTGATTGAAATAAACGAATACGACGTCATGCAGGAAGCCCCTGAAAACCCTCCTAACCTGCCGGTGAGCAGCTGGCTGCGCGACGGCGTGCAGATCGGCTGCACGTAGTAATTCTCCAGAGTCACGCCCTCCGCCGCCAGCTTGTCCAGAGTGGGGGTCTTGATGGTCGGGTTGTGGTAGCCGATGTCGTTGAAGCCCTGTGTTGAATTATTCAGATTGAGATGATTTACACTGAGCATTTGGACTATCCATCTGTCGGGACAAAATGTACTTGACGGTTTAAATACTACTTGGGAAAGACCTTTTTTTTTTTTAAACTAAACTTAACACAAAAAGTAAGGACATTTGTGTTTGGTAGATGATTTCTTTGTTTTAACAATTCTTCTTGCTCAAAAAACAAAGTCTGGTAGCCTTCTGCATGAGCGGGAGGGAAACAGATCAATTGCTGCTCCATGCAGAAAAATATAAGTCTGACGAAACAAGACATATTGGCAATTTATTAATTTAAAGGTCACCTATTATGCAAAATCCTCTTCTTCATGTCTCTTCTACATCACCATGTGTCCCCTCTTCTTCATGTCTCTTCTACATCAACATGTGTCCCCTCTTCTTCATGTCTCTTCTACATCAACATGTGTCCCCTCTTCTTCATGTCTCTTCTACATCAACATGTGTCCCCTCTTCTTCATGTCTCTTCTACATCAACATGTGTCCCCTCTTCTTCATGTCTCTTCTGCATCACCATGTGTCCCCTCTTCTTCATGTCTCTTCTACATCAACATGTGTCCCCTCTTCTTCATGTCTCTTCTACATCAACACGTGTCCCCTCTTCTTCATGTCTCTTCTACATCACCATGTGTCCCCTCTTCTTCATGTCTCTTCTACATCAACATGTGTCCCCTCTTCTTCATGTCTCTTCTACATCACCATGTGTCCCCTCTTCTTCATGTCTCTTCTACATCAACATGTGTCCCCTCTTCTTCATGTCTCTTCTACATCAACATGTGTCCCCTCTTCTCCATGTCTCTTCTACATCAACATGTGTCCCCTCTGTGGAAAGAGACTCTGAAAGTTTCAGGAACAAAGATTCTCTCTCTTTTTGTCCTGATCCATTTATATAAAAACCTGTCTGAAAATGAGCTGATCAGATTTTGGCCACTTTGTGATGTCATAAGGCTTTTTAGGCTTGTGTAACCATTAGCCAATCAGCAACCAAGGTAACCCCCCCCCCTCCTTATCACCTGAATCTCCTCCTAGAGCACCATTGTGTTCTTTTTAACCAACTATCTCTCAGAGGGGCGTGGGGAGGGGCTCCTTATTTTCATCTAAAGTAACAGACAGAGAATCAGCACTTTAGAAACAGGGCTGAAACAGAGGGGATTATGGGTAATGCTGCAGTGATCTGTTTGGTGTTTAGAGCCAAACACTTCAGAGACATGTTTTGTATATATCTGAGACCTGTAATATATTGATGAAAAACAGTATAAGAATAAGAAGCTCAAAACAAGACTCAATAGCAACAAGAAAACAAAAAAGCTGTTTGGCATTGGCGGAGAAGATTTGGCAATTAATATTTGTTTTAACCCTAACCTTAACCCACACACTCCGCCCTGCCGCTCATCCCACAAATGCATGTTCCTCACAAATCTGGCACCATTTAAAAAGGGAAATACACAGGCTTTCCAACGGTATAAGTTTTGTTTCATGTGAGAAGGGAACAAAATGACCATGTTGCAACATCAGCATCATCTGGCCGTTTTATTGGAAGCATGCATCATTACTCAACTTCTCAAAAGGAGCTGTTTAAGACTTACAAATAGTCACTCATAAAACCAGACACCGGTTTTTGGGGCTGATTTAAATCGATACCTTTAGTTACTTTGCAGATTTGGATTAATGTTGTGAAATATAATCAAGTGTTAAATCAGACTTTAGTTCCACCTGGAGTAAATCCACAAGCTACCCTGCAGTATACAAAGTCATTCAAACTAGCTGCACCTTTACCAGCTTTGAGAACACTTTCATGATCAATCATTATAAAACATATCATATATATTATTCTGAAATGGACCAATCTGCACAATGACTACTTTTACTGTCGCTACTTTCACTATATTTTAACGCTAATGCTTTTGTACTTTTACTTGTAACAGAGTATTCTTACACTCTGGTACTTCTACTTTTACTCAAGTACAAGATCTGAGTACTTCTCCCACCTCTGGTTATACATAGGAGTTAATTGCTGCTATCCAAGCATCTGATTTGAGATAGACACACACACACACACACACACACACACACACACACACACACACACACACACACACACACACACACACACACACACACACATTCCCACACTCATACACACACACACACACATACACACACACACACACATTCCCACACTCATACACACACACACACACACACACACATTCCCACACTCATACATTCTCTCACACACACACACACACACACACACACACACACACACTCACACATTCCCACACTCATACATTCTCACACACACACACACACACACACACACATTCCCACACTCATACACACACACACACACATACACACACACACACACATTCCCACACTCATACACACACACACACACACACACACACATTCCCACACTCATACATTCTCTCACACACACACACACACACACACACACACACACACACACACACTCACACATTCCCACACTCATACATTCTCACACACACACACACACACACACACACACACACACATACGTGTTTATAGGATATATCAGGACGTGTGAAAAAAACGTGACAAATTGGGACATGCCTTTCCAAAGGTCCTAGGGACCTGGGTATCACAGCATTTCATATCCATGCTTCCTGGAAGACATCCATCTATTGAGATTTTGTCTAATGCTATATTTTGCGGAAACCTGATTTTAATACTACTTCTGAGGACATGAACAGGTTTATGTGACTTATGAGCCCCTTAGCAACACACACTGATATTTCATGTTTATATGAATTGTGACCCCATAGATACACACTACATTTTCAAGTTTAAGGGACTTATGGAGACCCAGTAATACACAAAATAGAGTCTGTATTTGCAACTATGCCTTTATTACTTATGATTGAAATATCTGCATAAGAAGGATCGGTGTACATTCAAAAACTAAAACTTCAACATTAAATAATTACTCATGTTCGCCAGTCAGGTAACCTCTGACACAAAAAGTCTATTCATATTAACTTGTTGATACAACATATTAAAACTGAGCAGTCCAGAAACATAAAAAAGCTAAGTTAAAAAGGTATATAGCATTTAATTGTGGTCAGTTTACTCTTAAAGTCTTAATATTTTTCAAGTTACAAATTCTCTAATAAACGTTTATGTGGAAAAAAAGGATGAAACACTTTATTTGTTTCTACATTTAATGAATTGCTGGCAAAATATATAAATTGAAGTATAAACCAGAATAGGAGCAAATATGAAATTAAAAGAGGGTGCCCTCATGACTATTCCTTTACCTAACAATAAGGATATTGTATATAAGGATATACTATATAAGCACCTTGAGATGACGTTGTCTTTAAAGTGTGCTATATAAATCAAGTGTATTCTATTATGCTTGATTCATGTTGCATAAAGATGGAACCATGGTGACAGGCGCTGCCTATGATTAAATAATTCTTAGTCAACTAAAAGTCACAGGATTATGTCAACTTTCCAAAATGTAGTGCTTTTTAACTAAAAAACATGTCTGTGAGTATTATTGTTGCCAGAGTTGGGTTCATCATTTGCCTGTTATGAGAAAGACTAATAGCAACAACTTAAAAACATCGTTTGTCGACTTAGAACCTAACAACCAATTATTTGGTCATATAAATTGTAAAATAACCTTTTTTTACACCCAGAATAGACCACCCACAACCCAGAAACTTTAGCCCCTATCCTCCATTGTGTGAGGCAGTGAAGTAGATATGGCATGTTTGAAAGTTATGAGCAACTTTCTCTTTAGTGTTTTTCTTGTAAAAAGCACGGAATTAACTTTTTATTAAAACTTCCAGCTTCTACGAAACATGACAAGTGTACACTATGTTTAGTTAACCAGTCTAAATAACTTACAACGTTTAATATAGTTTACCAAAGTTACCATAAATGAGACATGTTACAAGTAGCCCCCACTCCAAATAATTTCTTAATAGTTGAAAGACCACATCAAACAACTTGTGGGCAAGAACAAATCAATGGTGAAAACTTGGGAAATAATGATGGAAGTAACAATCTTTTGAAGTACTAGTTATATTATTTGTTGAGACAGAACATAGTATTAACCTATCATCTCAAACCTTATTTATGAAAGAAATGATGGCATAACTGTAAATAATCGTCAAAAACACATTTCCTGTTGGCTGAAAGTGACCACGAGAGGGGGGTTGGAAAACACATTAAATCCCTCATGGATACATGTCAACATATTAACATTTGGCAGCTACAGTCAAGCTTATGTGACATGCTTGTACAAGAACAAAACTAATTAAATAATTCAAGGAAAACAAGATAATATCAAAACCAAGCCAAGTACACACATTAACACAAGAGGTCTGAGGTTAGGCTGATTATTAAATCCCTACCAATAAAACTGCAGGGAATGAAGAAACAACTATTATTTTAAAGTAAAATTGTACCTCAGACCAAGTTGGCATGTTCTAGTCCTATGTATTCATCTTCCTTTTTAATGCCATGATTCTGTTGTGAATGTAATATTTGATGGCAACCCAGTCCCTGTCTTTCAGAGCAACTGGCTCTGCCTTGAGACAGGAGTCACAGTCCTTTTTACCTGGTACTCTGCAGCTTGTTAAGGATACAAATGCCGCTCAGTAGCCTTCACTTCGTCACCTGTCCACTTGCTTTCATCTTCCCAGCTGTCATAAATGGAAACAAGACACAATGTATTTGAGAAATTGCTCTGTTAAAGTGATACATGTGGGATATGATAGAACAAATTATAGTTTGTAGTTAAATGATAGCATCATCAAATGTGTGTGAATGATGGCCTCTGTGATCAGTGTATGAATGGTAAAAAAGTTGGCATACATTTGCATGTGAATGGGTATATGTTGGCATGTACTGTAAAGTGCATTAGTTGTACAAAATACTAGAAATGTCCTTTAGAAATCCAGTTAAGATCAAT